CGTCTAACACACCCCCCAGCAATGCTATTTGGCTTTTCTCTCGTTTTGCCTCGTCATCATCAAACAATCGGGTTATTTCTGCCATCATCTCCACCCCGGTAGTGGGTCACTCTTCTCCCACTCAGGGGCGAGAATGGCACATCCAATTTACCTTTCGCAACCCCACAGACAAAACCTACGATAGGGCGGACCAGGGGGTTGGGCGCTCGCATGTGTTTCCTATGCCTCGAGAGTCGAGAGTCAGGCCTTGCCTCTGTCGATTCGCTTTTACTCCGGTTCAGCACTTCACCAAGCAGCTCTCTGTCTCTCTCTCTTGCGTTGTTCTCCGTCGAGTTCAACAAACGACTTTGGGTCTATGATGGAATGCAAAACTTCATCCTGCTACCAGACAGACATCTATCTCAGCGTCTCTCTGGACAAACGGCTCAACCTGTATCGTCCACTGCACACGAATATGCTGCCCGCATATCGACATCTACGTCTGCCAGCAAGCATCTATTAGCGGCTACCCAACAGCACTCAAAGCTCGTCAGATAAGCTAGACTTGGCGGTGCTATGACCCTGCGCCAGAGGAATGTTCCAAAGCTTCCATGTGGTCACTCCCCTTCTCGATTGGGCAATCACCGTTGGCGCTGGCCGAGCACCCTCGAGCGTGCGCTGTCAATGAGGACAGACAGAGTGTGGTCAAAGCCACTCCATTTCGCAACGCCATTACGCCGCAGTACGGATACGGATACAACGCTACGGGTTCCAATACTGGCGATGCTGCTACCCATCCGCTGTAGTCTGTAGAGTACATCGCCAGTCCGAATATCCACCCTTGCTTTCCGGTTGCTACAAACTGCAAATGAGTACACTGATGGTTGACCGCACCTCTCTTTACCACTCATCTCCCACGAACCACGCTCATCAAGACAACCCGAGACCCGGCCGCCGCAGATGCTGCCAGTTCCCTCTTGTTTGCGCTGGCTTCCTCTCGGCGGCCGCTTCTACAAGTTCCATTGAAAATGCCATGGGCTGCAATGTTACGGCAACGAGGTGCAGAGTGCCATCTAATGAACGCTCGGACACCTCCAAATTTGCTACCGCCCTCAGAGCACGTATCAAAGTCGCGAAACAAAGTTACGCTGGAGCTGTTTGAACGCCCCCCTGCTTTTATTTCTTGCCCATTCCTATTCGGCTCTTGTCACTGACGTTTAGCGCAAAGCCAGGTCTTACGCCGTATGGATGCCTTAGCATAGCCAATCTCGATCCAAGGGCCCTGTAAAAAGTGCGAGGGTGCGACAGTACAAGGTGCAGGGGCTCCCGGCTGCTCCGCCACACCAAAGATTCAAAGGGGCATGGTCATGGAAGGGCTCCATTGCTTCTGGAAAAGATTGGCTGCTTGCCAAAAACTCTGTGGAGAGCCGTGTCAGTGTCGATGTCGATGCAGAGGCCCGACAATCAGGCACGAGCGGCTCGAGATTGACAAGATGGTTTGGCTGATGCCGTCACCGTTGTCATGTGCCCAACTATCGGAACCGGGGTCTGCCCACGGCTCTTGGGACGACAAACAGACTGGCACATTGGAAGAGAGACAGAAGGACAACGGCTGAATGACTTGAAATGGTTTCTCTCTCAAGTCTCGACGTCCTCTACGTCCGTACCGCTCACTGATCTTTTGTCTTTTTGTTCAACTGGACATCTCGGAAACCTACGGCAGCACTGTGCGGTTCTGGTCCAGTGTGTCTCTGGTAGGTCTCTGTCAAAGTACCCCGTACCAAATTTTGTAACGACTTTCCCAAGTTTACTAGAGGGCGAATACTTCTGCACTAAAACTCGGCAGCAGATGTGACAATACAAAAAGCAGAATCGAATGACGCGACGGGCGTACGTCGAATGTATTCTCGACGGATCGGGTCCCCTCGTCCAAAGCCCTACATCGGCCTCACCTAACCTGGGCAAGCTCATAGCAAATATGCATGGCTTGCCATGTACGAATAGCCATCACGCGTAAAGGTGCAACGACGACATCAATGATCAAGACGCAGATACCGCCTGTTTGGCGAGGATCTTCATTATCATTATGGAGGACTCTGCTTTCGGGGCCGCCCTCTGCGCGCAGGACAACTGAACATCAGAGCTAGGGAGCAACGGCCAAAAAGGGGTGTTGCCATCATCTCTGACAAGAAACCCACAAGGATGCGAGCACAAACCTGGCGCAAAGTTCAGTGCGTGGGGAGGCCTGGTGGCTCTCGCATGCAGCCAGGAGATTGATGCTAGGCCTAGCGGGGAAGGTTTCCAGAAGCCTTCTGGAAGGCATCGACGGCGTATGAGCCGCCGTGGAATTACAGCTGCGTCAAAGGGGTGGGCTGCGCCGCCGTCTCGCCGCTTCATCTGCGACGAGGGTGGGGTGCGCGATGTCAATCTATCCCTGGAAGGCCTCTTTCTCCTCTCCACTCCTTCTGGAATACTTCGAGAAGGTTGGACAAGTACAAGGGTCCCCGGGTAATTGGCCGACGAGCACAAGATTACACGGACTTTCTGCTGCACACGGCAAGGCCCCAGAGCCAGGCACCTGTGTCGTATCAGCCTTGAACCGGGGGACGCTCGCGCGCGCAGACTGGGGGTCCGTCTACCACTGGCCCATTGGCTGTACCAGTATGAGATCCATGGCAAAGGGGCGTGTGTCAAGAACGGGCCTTGGGACCTCAAACACGCCGTTGACAGCGCGCCGAGGGCTTTGGACGTATGTTTGTCGCCCTGGCCGCCCGTTCGAATGCTCGCATGGCTGCCTTGACTTGCGAACGGGACAGCCGGCTGCAGAGGAGGGTTGGATGCTGAAGGACTGGACGATTTGCGATGCAGTGAGGCTCACAGCATGACCAGCGTCAAGCGTCAGGCGCCAGAGCACTCACGACAAAACACCAGACTGAGAGACAGGGCCTTGTCGACCACGGTCAAGGTAATGTCCCGCGGCTCTGTTCCCGAAAGCTCAGACTACATAGTCCCAAGGCCCATTGACGGCCGGCCCTCTGCGAATTACACACAGTACCCGCCTCGCCAGGGCTCAGCTCAGGCACGGGCGCATCACGGCATCTCCCACGGCTGAAGCAACCCACGGCTTATTACAACCGTCATGCATGGTCCATGGGGTGGTCCGGGTGACAAGGTCATTGAACTAGCGAGCCTCAGCGGAGATTGCCGCAGTCGACTTTGAACAACGATTGTCTGTGCGAGCCGTCCAACTGCGGTTACAGAGAGCCCAATCTGTCGAAGCTCACGAGCTTTTGGTGGCATTGACCCCCGGTCCCCCCAGCCTCTTGACCGCAAAGAGGTAGAAGAGCTAGCGCACGACTGTGAGTAGATCAATCGATGTGGCACGGACGGTTCAAGATTAAGAACAGGCATAGAAGCAGATGAGCGAGGCGGTCAGTCGGAGGCTGGAGACTCTGCTGAGATTTGCTGCCAGACGATTAGGCGACAAAGTGCGGATATCCAGAGTACTTCACCTCAGCTTAGTACTCTTGTCATTAGGGCGAGGTGAGTTGGTTGCGGGAAGTCTGCAACCATCTTGGTGCATCGCGCATCGTCCCAAACGGCAAACATGAGCTAAAGCGTGCGTGTACGACTCAGTCAGCAAGGTGTGTCGGGACAATCTGTTTCAGAAGATATGCCCAGATTGGTCACCAAGCACTAATGGTGTCGAATACAGGTTGAGTGTATCCGTACGGAGTATTTTCTCGTATGTTTGCCAGCTGATGGAACAGAAGCCAGGTCGAGTCTTGGGCGGGTGGCATCCAGCAACTCGTTGGATCCGACTCCATGCTTTCTGTGCTTGCCCGTCGGCGTACAGGTTGCCGTTGCATCATCAGCAATAACGCGGGCATCAACGCAACCCCGGACCACTTTGCCATCTATTGAGCACTCGACCATGTCAACTCGAGGGCTCTAGGACCGGCGCTAAGGCGAGATGCCTTGCTTCTAGCGCAAATAGCCGTTGCTAGACAGGTCGGCAGCGGCTGGCAAGAGATGGATGATTGGCGTACGCCAATGCTTGATCTTGTAGGCTTGGACAGCTTCCATGATTGTTCCATGCAGGCTTCTTTTCTATTCATCCTTCCATGAAGGATCGCTTACGATTGTGCTACGCGATCCCTGGGCCTACTGCGGCCAAGTTTGTCACTGGCTTGATGTTGTTCCCAAGTTCCTTGGCAGCAGCTAGCAGTGGCTTTGGCAGCGGGAGAATTGTCTACTCAGAGGTAAGGCACACAATATTCCTTTGTGTCTGTATCTGTACCCGTACTCAACAATGGGAGGGATACTCGACGGCCTAGGTACTAGATACTCCGCACACTGTAGCGACAGGGCCGGACAGTGCGTCTAACTGTACAAACAAGTCTGACATTCAAGCACTCTAGCTGGACCGCTGGGTAGTAGTACCTTACCTAATGTACGGTGGACAGCTGCGAGATGCTTCCTCCCGCAGTGGCTTGACCGTATCCTGCCGCCGCCGGCTGCCTTCCTTCGATTCAGCGGGATCCAGCCTCATGCCATGGGCCATGGGCCATGGCCAGTGCCTGCCCCTTGCCTGACAAGTTCTGTTCCATTTACACATCGTCAGCTCCGGCCGGCGGGTGGTGGTGCTTCTTACCCTGTGATGCGAACGGAGGGAGGCACTGGCAGGCCAAGCGCAGGTGGCCTCTGCTCTTCCCTTGCCCTTAACGGAGTACATTGTTTCTGTGTCTGTATCCATATTGTTCTCTCACGGCCTCACCCCATTGACCAAACCCAAACATCCTCCCGTACAGTCCGATACTCACCAGTCTTTTCAGCCTTGGCAGGCCTTGCCATGCTAGCAGCTTCGGTGAGGGCCGCGAAACCGAAGATCACGTCTATTTTCGTCCTTTCTTCTTCTATCCGTACGTCTATTTTCTCAGGCGCCAAGAAGCCAAAGGTATCGCCATGGTCGACGACGATTCGACGCATAAGTTCGCTCGACGCGGGAAGACGGTTCTCGGACTCAGGAAACTGACCCTTGACGATTCGAAATCGAAGCCGGCGATGCGCGGGCACACCCTGCATTCGGGCCTCCCTCACTTGTACGCGTGACACAGTACGGCCTAACGTCTGTCACCTCACTTCAATGCAAAGAAGAAGAAAACATCCGTCTTCCAGCTAGATGTCTCCCGTGCCGTACTATGGACCGCCGGGCCAGATACAGCAGACGAACACCGGGCCTGATCACAACCCCGACCAGCGGATGACCCATTACCTTTACCATACCCAAGTCAATTCCCCGTTCAGATCCGCCCCCAATCACCAAGGTATCCGTACAGAGCGGTGGGTTTTGTATTGGATGCGGCAGAGACTTCAAGGCCAAGCCTCAGTCAACCTGACTTCCTACCCAGGGGAACGTATTGTGGCGGATACACATGTCAGCCAACTGGATGCTCCCCGCCAGCGAGCTAGTCAGGATCAAGGGCGAAAAGGGACAGCAGAGGGAATTCAGACATTCACTGCGAAAGCGTCACCAATAGTTGCGCCCCAGACTCTCAATCGCAGCCACTGCGAGCAGCAGTTTGAGTACATAATCTCTCTCCATCAACGGCCGCTCCGTCGAGAGTCCAGCACCTGCCACTGCATACTTTCGTCCATTTCCGCAGACAGCCATCCTTCCTCGATCTGGACATGAAACGCCCGTGCCGAATCGTGGCCTTTGGGGATCTCGACCACTGTCAGTTGCAACACCACATCCGTCCCTTCATTGGCACGACACGGGGAGGCGCTAGCTTCGCCTTGCGTTGCTTGCCTTACCTGGCATCGAGCAGGCGAGGGCGACGAGTTACAACGTCAGGTCAAGGCTTACTGGCTCAGGAGTCAGGGAGTACCAGACGAGGCACCGGCAGTTGGAGGGATGTGCATGTTAAATCTCGTTAGACCCACTCACATGAGGAGACTACGTCTGTTAGCTAAACTTAGCTGAGTAGGATGAACTGAATCCGAGATGACCGCCGGCCGGCTATGCTACGCTGTCTTCGTGTGTTCCTTGAAGGGCACAGTTGCACTCTAGAGCTGTCAACTGTTCATGGCCAGGCCTCCAGCAATGCTTGCTTGACGAGGGTTTGACGGCTATCATCACATTATAGGGTCGCAAAGTTCAACATCGTGGCCCGTTGGCCGTTCTGGTACTCATCAGCCACCACCAAACACAATGGAACTCCCCAGACAGAAACGCACACTCCTCTTCACCGGGAAGACGGTGATGCATGGACGCTTCTCTCACCAGGCATACCATGCCTCAACGATTTCCAAAGTCTAGGATTCGTCAACCATAAATGGGCAACCCTTGACATGCTTTTCTGCTGGACCACTCTGCGGCGGTACCGGCATTTCCGCTGTTCCACTATCATCCTGGCAGCAAGGCAAAAGGTTGACACACCACGGATACAGTTGACCAAATCCACTGGTATTCATCAGCTACAGACGTACCGTACGGGTACACAGCATTTTTATGAGGCCGCGGCAATGGCATGGCATCTCAGTAATAATGATCTATCGGTACAGAGTCATCTTGCGGGCGGGACGACAACGCGTCGCACGGAAACCGTAAAGAAAGAAGATACATGTCAGAGATCGGCAGGCGACGCGTCCATCTTTTGCCGCTCGGGAATTAAAACGTCACGCTGGCTACACACACGCACACACGCGACTGAATTTTTTATATTTGGCTTCTGGAAGACATCGACGCCGCCGCCGCCGCCACCCCCCGTTGACGAGTCCCGGCCGAACTGGAGGCTGTTGACCTCCACCTTGGGCAGCATTGGGCTTCTACCAACGGTCATCTCAACCTTCGTCTCTTCATCCTGTCCTGGTGCGCAGGAGGCGAATTGATCGCTCAAGCATCTTCAAATCCTGAAACCACCATCAAAGGTTCATTCCGGCCGAATGGCGAGGACTGAGTCAAGATTCCTCAAACTTCACAGGCTGAGCCGCTTGCTCCACACCCTCATCGGGGCCGACGGCCGCTGGGAGATACCCACTTCACCCTTCCAGCTCATTGTACATACGAATACAGTTCACTCTCTTTCGCGTGCGTGGCCTTTATCAGAGTTGCCAGTGTTCCTTGGAACAAACAGGCAAAAGGTTGTTGATTCGACAGGATTCCAAGCCAGGATTAATCTGCTCAATCCCTCTGGACTTTCAAATACGAGGCTACTATGCCTACGCAAGCAGTCTGGATTGCATGCCATCTGTTCTGTTCGGGTGTTTGAAGCCTCAAAGAACGAATATCAAGCTTTGCCCGGCCCCATCAGCCTTGCTTATGACTTGTGAGCGAGCGTCGTAGCGTCTCCCATGGGCCTTGCGTAACGGTACGGGCTCCAGCGGGGAGATCCATGACGATGGCTCAGCTAGGAAAGCTGCCTGATCTGGCCTGACTCCGCGCGGTTTGGCCGCTCAACAGGGAACCTCGATCTTGCGGGAGCAATGCCGACCCCGGTCAGCCTGGGTCGCGTCCGTCTGGCTGGAATCATCGACATCCGACACGATGGTTCACCCGTAATTACCGAGCAATTTGGTCAGTCGGATGAGCGAATCTGGGGGCGCTCAAACCACCCGAAACCTGCAAAGAACAGAATCGATGCGCTTTGTGCTTGCAGCCCTTCAACGTCGCCAGAAGGAGGGTATGTTTGTGTTCGAGAATGAGGTCCCGGCCACAAGACTCGTTGTTCTTGAGGAGGTGCGTGCGGCAGAAACGTTGGCCCATCCAGCTCCAGGCTGTGCCGCCTTCATGCTTGGATCTGGTTCCAGGGTTTGGCTTGACGTTGCCGAGCGGCCGTGGGCATCTGCCAATTCTCCGAGGCCCGCTGTGACGGTCCAACGAAGGTTCCGGGCACATCTTTACCAGAGCACCGAGCTCAGTCAGGGCTGCATTTCGTTATTCTTGCCCGGTTTCCTCGTCGGTTAAGCAGTCGTTTGACAACGAATCAGCTTCCCCTAGTGCAGTTTTCCAGTCGGACCAGCAGGTGTTGCAAGTCACCCGCCAGACAAGGCCCCGATGTGGCTAGAAACAGGCGAGACATCTGCACTGGGGGTCGACCGCACCTCCGCCAATAAGCAAGACTTCGTGACACGTAACATGCCCCGTTGGCGGGATAACGCGAGCTGGCTCAGGCGGTTCAAGTGCATCTTCAGCTCTTGGCCATGAAGAAGCATTCTCGTCTTTGAGTCGCGTATCCAGGCCGGTCTCAACCGGACAGACGATAAGCTTGGGGATTTGCGACAACCCAGGGCTACATTCCGTGGTTGATCTCCACGACCGCAAAGACCATAAAGAGGCCTTGCGTTGTTCGTCATCTCCCTACGGATACTAGGCGGACCGGTCCGTAAGGCCAACCCGGAGCCGGTGCGTAGTGCCCAAGGACGGGCCAGAAACACACAGACCAATCGTGCCGAGTAAACGTGTTGCGGCCGGACAGGATTGAACCACATCCGTATCAAAGGAGCAACTGTAACTCGTCAACTTGACTTCGCAGAGACTACAACTGACAGTGCATGCCTATCGATTGCTTTAGCCTGCCGTCGTTGAGAATGGGGCCTGATACGTTGCATTAAACCACGTGTGAGAAACTTACTGATAGAACCGCGGTGCATAGGGGTCGGGAAATGAGGCGTTGAGACAATCAAAGCTCGGTGAAGATGCGCTTTATAATTCGCTTTATAATTAACACGATGAATCATCCCCCTTCTGGACATAGGGAAAAATCACGCAAGATAGCCAGTCATATCTGCGACATTCAGACCCACGATACCCACCTCCCCGGCTTTCAAATTCTCGAGATGAGTCCGACGTCTTGAATCCGGGGAGCGATGTGCACCTTTTGCCCTACGTGGACGGCGGGTTTGGTTGACCGAGCTTATGCGGCATGGCTCTCAAATGTGCGGGATGCCAGCCCGATTCGACGGCGTCTCGATCAATCAGCCGCGGGGTCGCGTCGGATTCGCCCTTTGGTCTTGACCGAGGAAAGGATACCGGCCGGCGGCCATCCAACCCTGCCCTACCATCCTCCTTCCAACAGGCCAGCGCATATGCGAGAAAGAGTGTTCGTTGCGACTGTCGGTTCAAAGCTCGTTCTCGTCCCATCATGGCCTCTTGCGAAGGGGAAATCTCGCCATATTTATCCGCTGCATAGGCAAACTGCAGGATCAATAAACCCCAGCTTGCAGCATCTTTTCGCCCCGGGAACCAACATGCAGTCCCAGCGTTTAAGATTGTTTGGGGGTTAGCCAGTAAGAACAAACGCAACAATAGCCAGCGTTTGTGACCCAACAATAGGAAAGCGAAAAGCGCGGAAGGCGGTCGTGGTACCCGCCTCCGCGTGATCTACGCCGCCGAGTCCTTTTTTTTTTTTTTTTTTTCTTCTTTCCGACGACCCCCGAAGCGGCCCGGTCCTACGCTCCTTATTCGCGTTTTGACTACGACCCCCCTTTCGTTGTTTTCTTGTCTCGTCATTCCCCTGGGGGTTTGGTCGGTCCCGCCCAACCGGTCAAGGAACCAAAAGCAAGTGACGACCCTTATGCGCGTGATGGAGGAGGAATGAGACAAGAGGAGGACCGCGCCGGACCTAGCGTGGACCTGTCATCAATGTGTCAAATGGTGTTGTCGAATGGGCTTGCTTGCTGGCTTTGCCCCAACCACGAAACAGGGCTGTGGGATCAGAGACGATGGTCTCATCGGGAAATGTACCCGTCTTTGACGAGGCGGATTCCATATCTCACCGACGGACTGGAAGGGTGGTTGTACCTCTCTCTGGCGCATTGTCTTGTTTGCCTGTCAGACTTTCTGTTTGGGCTGTTCAGCTGCTCAAGCTGCTGAAATCTTTTTTTTGTTCCCTTCCTCTGCAGCCGGGAATCGAGTAACGTCAAGTGTCAAACCTCAAAGTCAAGGGTGGTGGGGGTTTGGTCCATTGGTGTAAGTCAAGCAAGGGCTTGGCACTTTGCCCAAGGAGTCGTCAGTGGGCATTACTACGTGCATGCGTCCTTTCTCCTTCTCCTCGTGGCCAAGCATCCAACCAGAGAGATATAGAGAGGGGAGACCGAGTGGGATATGGCTGTCTTCTTGTCGACAAACACCACCTCGCTCGGCGCGCATGTTTGCCAAGGGAGAGGCGTAAGGAGAGACGCTCCACGCCCCCCCCCCCCCCCACCATCCACTCAAATATCGCAGGTCTTATAATGATGTAGTAGTAATAAGTACGGCAAGCTAATTGGTATTGTATTATCGAAAGACAAAGACTGTGAATGAGGCAGATCCCCCCCTCTCTCCTCCTCTCCTTTCCTCTCCGGGGCAAGATGTCAGTCAAACTTCCAGGGATGGCATGGGATGAAATTGATCAAAAGGGGGGTCCAGTCAGTGGGGGTGAAAGGGAAGGTGCAGGAAGCGTGAATAACAGCTTCCTCTTGATGACGAAGGGTGAAGCCAGTGATTCAGGAGTTTATCTCTGAGGGGGGGGAGGCCCAGAAACCTCCGGGAAGAATGTATAAAAGGCATCGACTGGAAGCCTCACATCGTTGAGCTCTTTCCCTTTGTATCACAACATCAACTTTTACAATCCTCTACTTTCTTCTACCTACACAAAGTCAGTTATTTCTGTCCCATTGACGCATATCAACCTCCTTCCTTCACCGACACTTCATACCACGTCATTCCCAACAGAATAGGACGGAAAGAAACATCAAGCAAGACGGCAACCTGTAGTAAACAAAGCACCTCAAATCTCCTTTTCCCCAAGGCACAAGAAGAAGAAGAAGAAACAATGGCATCCCAATCAAAGATGACGGCATCCATGCCTGCTCACGGCAGCGTGCTCGACATCGGCGGCGGAAGCATGTCCTCCACCATCCTCGAGAACCTCCAGCGCGTCTTTGCCGTTGCCGCCAAGGGTAAAGTCCCGACCATGCCCGACGAGCTGCTGTACAACGACGAGGGACTGGCCATATGGGCCGAGGTCATCTTCACCCCCGAGTTCTACCAGACCCGCGACGAGATGGTCTTGTTTGAGAAGAATAGCGAGGAGATGGCGACCGTCTACATCCCCAATGACGCCACCATGATTGACTTGGGAGCCGGGTAAGCAGATATTACTTTCCTTTGTTCATGTTGATAATCAGAGTGCTCATTTGCTGACTATGTCTTTCTTTTCATCTACAGTGACATGCGCAAAGTCAACTTCCTCCTCAAGGAACTCGCCAAGCACGGCCGTAACGCTACATACCTTGCCCTCGACATCTCGAACCACTCCCTAACCTGCAACCTCGAGGCTCTGGCCCCTGAGCACGCGGCTGGCAGCGTCCGCATGGCAGGCCTCTGGGGTGACTTCAAGGCTGGCCTCGCCTACTGTGACGACATTCCTTCCCCTCGAGTCTTCCTTTCGTTGGGATCTGTCCTCTTCAACGACCCCTGGAAGAAGGCCGTTGCCTCCCTTCGTGAGTGGGCTGCCCTCATGCGCCCCGACGACCTCATCCTCGCCGGCATGGACGGCCATGATGTCACCTCGACCAAGGTCTGGGCTGCCTACCACACCCATCCAGTACTGTTTGAGAGGTTCTTCCACAATGGCTTCAAGCACGCCAACGTCCTCCTTGGTGAGAAAGTCTTCAAGCCTGAGGACTGGGAGATCTGTGGTGAGATCGAAGAGGATGAGAAGCGCCACCGCTTCTTCCTCAAGGCGAAGCACGATGTAGTGGCCGAGAAAGAGGGCAAGACGCTGAAGCAGGGTCTCAAAATCGACTGGTTCGACGCCCACAAGCGAAATGAAGAGGACGTCCGCAACATGTGCGCAGAGGCGGGCCTCGAAGTCGTCAAGTCGTGGGCCATTGAGGGTTCCGACATGCGACAGTACCTCATTCGCACTGCTGCCGTTGAGAACTCCATTGACGAGACCGATAGTGCCATCTACGTCCGCGGGGAGTGAAGCATCTCCGACAGCTAACAAGGTACACTGGGCGAGCAAAGGATGTACATAGAGGCAGATGTGTGATCCTGGGTCTTTTCTCCCATTACGTAAGGACGGGGAATTCTTTCAAGGGGAGATGGACGACTCGAGATGTAACGACACGACGGAAGCGCACTCGCTTCCTTAGATGCACGATAGGAAACAAATACTTGCATAAGATAGCAAGGATTGCAGGTAAAGAGTGCTCCAAAAAGAATAGCGTGACGTATTCTGCAAAAAATGCATCTCTCTTTCCGAATGTTTGGTCAGCAATACCCCTCTATCTCTTCTAGATCAAACACAAAGTCCCTTCGGTAGACACAATGTGCGCCACGAGTGGCTCCCACCAGGAATGTCGCTCTGAAATTCTCGTAGGAAGGTTGGAAGAATTGTCGTCATCTACGTTGCTTGTCATCCATTGACGGATACGCTGAAGCGAGTTGAACGCAGGGGGCACACTCTGGTAGGTGTCTCTGGTTAAAATTTGAACCTCATGTAGGATTTTCGTCACTTTACTTACTGAGCGACAACTTGTGCTGACGACCGATTGAAACCAGTTCAGGGCACAAAGGCTGTGTGCCTCTGTCGTGGCTACGATTCCTAGGAGGAAGACCGGAAAGAACGGTGCTTGTGCGGTGAAGAAGGTGCCATATGTTGGCATCATGCCAATGCATTGTACTAGTTGATCAACCTCGGACACAACGCTTGGGTGAGAACGAGGCAGCCTGTCGAGGCGGCAGCGCAGGTAGATGAGGGCTGCTAGACGCCATGCCTCGGCCGTTACTTCCGTCATAGATTCTGCGTCCGTCACAAGGCCAAAATCGTTCCGCTTGATGCGATCTCCGAGACTGCGTTGGTCTAACAAATCTCGAGATTGATCTGACCGAGTCGTGGCTGACGAGGTCGGAGACTCGGCTGCGGGCTGAGTCCACTGATGTAATTTGCCCAAATCATCGCTGATTGTTTTGATGCTCGATGGCATGTGGAAATCGTTGTCACTGGGGTCTTCCCACAACCATTGTGCCAAACTTGTAATCTGAGCGAAACGAGAAAGAAGTATCGGCGACATGCCACAACCACCGTGTATTCTTCGACTCTCCGGTTCAGTACCATGCAGCAGCCAGGAGAACCGCTTCTTCGTGTTGCTCGAATCAAGAGGGGCCATGGGAAGGGCTAGGATGGCGGCCCTGGCAGCGATGATCATGTTGCCCATCTGCATATCAGAAGGTTGAATGTTGGTGGGTCTCCAGAAGCGATGACCCGGATCTGAATTATCCAGCAAATGACAGGCGAGACGAGCACCTTGGAGCCAACGAGGAACCGCACTCGGCGGCCGACGTTGCTCCGGGGACACAACATCGATCATGTTTAGAAGTGTGACGGCGGCAATGAGGCTGTTTGACTCGTGTTCTGTGGAGCTGGGATTCCGAGCCTCCTCTCTCAATGCCATTGTCATGAGTAAGACGGCTCGTTTGTAGTGTGCATTGACGGCCTGTCGAATGCTCTCTTCGGGCTGGTAGTCGAGGACATAAGTTCCAGCGAGCGCTAGCATCGCGTGTTTGACACAGGAGCTGTCCTTCATTATTCGGGGAATGTTGACTAGCCAGCAATTCGTCTTGTGGAGGACACTCCGACCTGAACACCATGCCTTGACGTCTTGAGAATGTTAGCCATTCTCCATCTTGGCCAGGGGTGTCGAGACTCACAAAAT